ATACACACATACATACATAGAACAACCACTCCAATGGTGCACTCACACATACACATGACACATCAAGGCAAACCTGTGCCACAGAATCAACAGTAGCAACAAACACAACTGATAATGATTGGTTAGGATGATATAGTAATACTGTTGACCAGGCCGAGGCCGCGCTAAACCCATCTGTGATTATTCAAACTTGTCTTCAGCTGAATGTGTGAAAGGTTACAGGGACTGGAGGGGCTTTTCTGCAGGAGTAACATAGTTCTGCTAAAACTCCCTGACTTAGCAAGCACCAAGCCCTCTCCTTAAGCTCCTATTAGCCTTCCCTTATTACACAGCTCGGTCAAATATGGCTGCTGGTATGCAGGAAATTTTAATGCAACATTAATACCAACTGCCTTTAAAATGCACCAAGAGGAGGAGTTGTATCTGAATTTCCCAGAACCCAGCTCAAAAAACAAAACAAAAAGCCTGCAACAAGGCTGCGCTGCATCACCTGACAGCCACGTATTGCTCATTTGTGTGGTTTATTCTAATATCTGAAATCACACAGAAGGTGAACGGGGTGCAGCCAGCTCAGTAGTGAAGCAGGTTACAACTCTTTGTCAGCTAAAAGGCCTCAGGGAAGAAGTTGGCAGAACACTCTGGACAGGCGAGAAAGAGGTAGTAAAAAAGGTGAACACTTGCTACCGAGGCAGGGAAATATGTTATAGTGCCCGGCAAATATAAAACTCAAGCCAGCTACTGATTATAAAACACAACACCACCTGGTGGTGTAATGATCCCAGGGAGGCAGAAGCTGTCAGGCGTGCTGCTGTGGGGCAGTAGTGGGGTGTAAATTCACTGGTTTGATGATTTGGTGGTTGTATATAAAATTCCCTGTGCGGACGCCAGGCCTTTTCTGACTGAGGTGTAACAGCGGCCACCAGGGGGCAACGCGATGACCTTGCCTCCAGTAAGGCAGTGTTACAGGATGGTACTTCAGTAAAATCTTATTCCAGAATCCCTTTGATGTATTTAAGCCCCGACAGCATCTGTCACCAAATTACCTACGATAAACTGTTAAAAAATCGGGGAGATATTTTCCTCTTTTTGAATGATCATGTTGAATAGCAGCACTCTATAAAACTCTCAGTTTTATAGCTCAGCAGTGATGTGTTTAGTTGAAGAGCTGGGATTGTTCCTGCTAAACCAGTCTGACTCCAGGTTAAAGGCCATGTTAAAGGGACAGTTCACCCCAAATTCAAAAATACTTATTTGTCTTCTTGCCTGTAGTGCTCATTATCAGTCTAGATTGTTTTGGTGTTGGAGATATCAGCTGTAGAGATGTCTGCCTTCTCTCCAATATAATGGAACTAGATGGCACTCAGCTTGTGGTGCTCAAAGTGCCAAAAAGAACCCCATACATTAAAAAAAAAACCAACTCAACAGCAATGTCTCGTTCCAGAAATCATGACCCCGTTACTCAGACTCTATTGTGGACAGTCTCATGTGGGAACTACTTTCTTTGTACCAAACTACACCAGCCAACCGCAACGCTATGCAGAAGAAAGCGTGGATCTACTGCTAGCTCACCTAGCACCACTGAACTAGCTAATGTTACAGCTCAGCCGAGGAGGACGCAGTAAATGACGCCATCACGCGCTGTCACACACAAGTAGATGCACGCTTCCTTCTGCATGGTGATACGGTCAGCAGGTACAGTTCAGTGCAAAGAAAGTAGGTCCTACACAACACTGCTCACATAAAGGTCTGTGGATTATCTTGAAGAACGTGATCATGATTTCTGAAGAGACATCGCTGTAGAGTTTTTCAAATGTGTTTTTTGGTGCCTTGAGCATCCCAAGTCGAGAGAAGGCAGACATCTCTGAGGCCGATACCACCAACATTCAACAACACACACCAAAACAATCTAGCCTGATAAAGCGCACTACAGGTAAGAGGAAAAATATGTATTTTTGATTTTGAGGTGAACTGTCCCTTTAAGGCAGGGCACATGTTGCTCCAGACCGGTTATCACACAGAGCTACAGGAAATGCAACAGGCGAGGTGAATGCAACAAATTCTGAGCAAAATGTAAGCACTTAAGACACGAAACCAACAAAAATAAAACAGTAACAAAAGAAACATTGTGAGGGAGCTGAAGATTCGTACAGATCAATATGAATATAGTTGGACAAAAATCACATCAATCAAAACAGAAGTGAATGTGGTTCTCACGGTTCATACAGTCAAATGAATAACACTGCAGGCTCGCTCTAACCTCGACAACAGCAGAGATGGAGACCACTGACATACAGTTACAACATTAAATCCATTCTGAACAAAACAGTTATCACTAATGCTAGTTTTCTCTTTTTACAGTTCCTTACTGAAGTGGCTACTGTGCAGCAGGTAGCCCATCAGCTGCACTGTTTCTATCCAATGTCAGCATCACACTTAATCTGTTACAGTTATGCATATATGAAGGTGCAGACTGGGTGGAGGGTTGTAGAGGAAGATGTGTGCTGGAAGAAAAGACATGTTTCTGTTGTTGGTTATTACCACCAGGTTTGAGCTTAGCTCTGCTGTCCTGTAAAATAATAGCTCCCAATTTAACCAGCTGTCATGTTTTTACTTGAAAGGTAGTTGAGCAGTGATTGATGGAGAACAGTAAATTGAAAGCAGATAATTAAAACAATTTAAACAATTAAAAGAACAACAGGTAACTTGAGAACACTGAATCATAAAATAAAATCAGGTTGTATTTTCTTCCTACATATACAAGCGTTCCAGAAACGAACTCTCCCGGTTCCTTCTGGAGACTTTTTGTGCAAATGAATTGAAGCGTCGATATGAAAACAGTGTGCGGAAGATGGTCACGTGGTTTCTGAGGCACAAGAACAAAAAGGGACATCCAGTAGCCTGAAGTGATCTCAAACCCCTTTAACAGTGCCCCGAGCAAAGACCAGGGAGGGAAAGTCCACCAGCCACAGAGACTGGAATTTTAAATTTAGCAAGAGAGAGCAGGGAGGGTGAAGGTTTGCTGCTCTCAGCTTTAGTCCTATGTATAATAAGTAAAGTGGCAGCTGGTGGTCATTTCCCATCTTGGCAAGAACTCACAGACACGACTGAATCAAAGCCAGGTCCACCCAACATTCACACACACACTAACACACACAATACACGAGAAAACTTTACTCCCTTCCTTCATTACCACAAAACCGTTAGGAACCACAATATTATAGAAACATCCAAGCAGGAGTCCAATCTACAAATCACTTCACAACTTGCCAACCAATAACATACCAGACAGCCACCTAATAGTAACCAACCAACCAATCAGAGGACTCCATGGTCCTGGGCTTTAAGGCCAGATAATAAATACAGATAATAATAAGACTATGGTGTTTTACTGTCTCCTCGTCTCGTACTTCAACTTCAATGCAACTCCATCATTATAGTTTCCTCTTCACTCATTTCAACCTTTACTTTACATCATCTTCAAGGCTCACATGACAAAGTGCCTCTTTTTTTTTTAAGGAATTTTACGGCTTCATTTTAAAAATATATTGGCCAATGAACCAAAGCGCTGGCTTTAGTTTCTCTGTCTGGGATTAAAAACAAAAAAAAACTATTGACTTCCAATATAGAATACAGTATGAGATACAGGATATTAGATAAATCAATTAAATCAATTTACAGGTAGATTTACAATGTAAATAGCAGCAATTTACATGGAATCATTTGTGCAATATTTATTAAAATAAAAAGGCTTTATCAATTTTCATGCGATAAATGCATGTGTACAAGCATTTAAATATAAATAGTAAATTCACGCCTCTCGAATTAAGCATACGATAAAAGGAATGGAAAAACAGTTTTGAATCCATAAAGATGATAGTGTTTAGACATACTGAGTGCGTTTACGTGCACTTAGTATTCCAGATAATGTTTTCATATGTATCAATCATTAAATCATTACATCACAGATTTGTATATCCTTATTATACATGGATTAACTCAATGTTACCTTAGAAACAGCATACAATAGCATATTCAGGTTTTTCAACATAAGGATATGAACTTAAATTAGATGTTGTACATGAGACATGGTACTGAACTGCACCAAGTGATGATGAAGAAATATTACTTTTCCATCATCAAATCAACGTATCAAATCAGCAAGTCTTCTGCTCACTTGGTGAGTCAGCATCGTTCCAACTCAAGACGACTCAAGCCAAACACTTTACACTGACCTTAATCTAGTTTATCAAAGAGGTACTCCTGTGATTTATTATATGAACTCTACAAACTTAGAGAGCTTCCAAGAGACAGATTTTTTTTAAATAGTCAAAATCGAGGCAGCAAAAGCTTTGATATCTTGACTTTTGAACGGGGTCAAGTTCCAAAAACAGTTAAATTTGTAGTCTTCATGTAGTAACCCTGATGACATCATCAGAGTTATTTTCTCAGACTTTATTAAGCTCCCCAAGCCTGACATCACCAGACCAAATCGTGAATGAGTTAGTCCACAACCTTACCCTGGAAATCCAGAGTTCTCGCAAGAGCACAATTTGAATTTGCTCAGCGAGTCACTCTGGCAATCAGTAATGATGCTCTTTACCTATGCTTTTGTATCCTAGCTGCACCATTCACATCTGTGTATCTGATATAGGCGGGCCAGAGGCGAGCTAAACAGATGATGACAGCGCTGCGACGACGAAGTCCGGAATCAGTCAGTAAACATTGCAAGATGGCTATGGATGAACACCACTTGTTTGAAACGGCTTTGGTCACTACAGTGAACGAGTTAGACTTGGCTTTTTCTCTAAAAGAGGAACAGAAGACGGCGCTCGAGTCTTTCCTTTGCAAGAAGGACGTTTTTGCTGTTTTGCCAACCGGATACGGCAAGAGTCTAATCTACCAGTTAGCTCTGCTGGTAGCGCTCTGGATACGTCACCCCGTGTATTGTTCTGATTGGTCATAGTGTTATCCAATTGCGTGCAGTGATATTTACAAATGCATGCTTGGTACCGCCCCTCGAGTTGGGCCATTTTCATTACTCATGGCCAGACCCTAAATCTTTCTAGATTTGGGTCTGTATTTCCAGGCTATCACAACCTGACCCATAGACCAAAATGCCTCTGAACGCAACTGGATAGACGCACAACTAATCAGAGCAGTGAAACTTGTGATGTGGCTGTGACGATGTAGCATCAATATACCTGTGAACGAGTGTTGCTGGGACTAGTCAAGAATTTGAAAATAGTACTTCAATAGAAGTTCCAGATCAGCAGCAGCCATTTTGGATGCTATCTAAAAATGCCTCAAAGGTCCTTTGTACTACGCCAGGTTTATGCTAACCATAGTTTCCCTGACATGAGGGGACATTAGCAAAAAACACTGTCATTATGCATTATGAGTAAAGCACCAAGGCTCTGCCAGTTGTCTGAAACCCGCCCCATATTAGATAAATGGTTGTTATTGGCCTGACAAGGGCCAGGTCGTCGTTTGATTGGGAGGGTGAACAGATACATCGGCAGATTCGACAGGTTCCCAGACTACAGCTTCCCCTGAAGAGAGGACACAAATATTTCCACTGAGTAGCACTCCTTATGACAAGTAAACTGACTGTGTGTTAAATCAGCGGAGTGCCCCTTTAACTTACAGAAACATATTGGGGACACATGTGTATTCTGTCTATATTCCTCATCAACAGATGGTACACATATGTACTGTCAATGCTTTTCCATAAATAAATACACAAAGAATAAGGTCACTATAATATGTTAAAGTCCCTCTGGAATGCGATGTCCATTAAAGTCCGCCACATGCATTTTCCTCGACAGACATGCCAGGAATGTTCCATCAGTCAGAACTGCTTTCGTGTTTAATACTTTCCCAAAACACACAGCTTGATCTCCCAGTTGTGGCAGTTATTTAAAAATAAAAGATAAAAACTAGCTTCTTTTAAAACAGATCAAATGCATAGAAGCAAATTACTTCTTTTCTCAAGCGTGAAATAACCAGCAGAGCTTCTGCGTGTCCGTCTCACTTTCCTTTCCTTAACACATACACATGCCTATTCCCACCAACACAGAGCACGACTCTGAACAGCACCTCCTGGTGTCCAAATGTCAGTCACAAAGGAAATCCAGCTAATTAGCTCCAAGAACAGACTTTCAGATGGAAAATATACTCTAATGTAAGGTCATCAACAACCTTTTGCACATTACTAGATGGTTGGAGGAATCTGTTTACCTTTGTCTACCTCTCTGTCTCACTGCACCATGACCACAGACATGTTCTGCTAACATACAGATGCTTCTTATCCAACGTCTCCAGTGCAAAATCGACTTTAAAAGCCTCCCAGTACAAACAATTTGCTCCCATAGTGGCTTTGTCCAATAAGGACACAACTTTTCCTGCTTTACACATATAATCTTCAACATCTACACGGCTACGACAATATGAACTTTTTTGTGCACACAGGGCAACACTGTACAACATTTACAGACACACACTCATATACACACACACACACACACACACACACACACACACACACACACACCCCCCTCCTTGTCCTTTCCCCTCTGCAGTCCCTGAGATCACCTCACACTTAGCACAAGGCATTCTCTTTAACACAAACACAGCTAACAGAAATTAAATACACAGAAAAACAAATGCAAACCAAGCCATGGTGAAGGCACATTCTGGGAGGATCTGTCTTCCAAAGAAAGGAAGTCCAGGAAGAGAAGACGAGTCTCTAACAGAGAGTCAGAGTGTCAGTTTGTAGACGCAGAGAGTTCAGGGGAGTGGCAGCCGGAGCAGGGGATTCTGGGACATAGAGTCTCAAGACTACCAGGTAGAGGCATCATATCCAGGGATGCAAACATAGTATGACTGACACGCTTTGAGCTTGTGTCTAAAAATCAAATTTGATCCATTTTTCCTCATACACAATGAACATATTATAGTGAGACATGTAGGAGGGGTAAAAAATGCCAGAGACACCATTCTATGGTTATAAATCAGAATGGCCATACAGTATATTTTAATCTTTTGCAGTAGCTACTTGTACTGTAATAACTAATAATTATCAATGGTGAATAGCAGAAAAAAAAGGCAAATAATAATAGTAGCCAGCATCCAACTGGAAAAGATGAAGGTTTTTCATTCTAGAAGTGTTATTTCCTGCGCTCTCAAATGCCCCTCCAAGTTTGAAACATACTCTCAGATGTAAACTGGGATCAAAAGTGACTCCTGTCTAAAATGTGACTCGTTTGCATCCCTGTATATCAGCTCAGAAAGCATCTCTGAGGCAAATCATCCAGTCTGCTGCGTCCAATCCACGCCCCCGCAGAGCTTCGACACTTCAAATACGATAAAGTCTGCACTGACTTCCATTCTCTCTCAGCAGTCTTCCCATTGACCGCCGTTCATTTAGCATCTTCCCACATGATAAATAGTCCTTCCACGGACTTCTACATACTCTGCATAGTCTTTCATTAACTTACTTGCATTCGCTCTGAATGGTCTCTGTATTGTCTTTATTCTACTTCCATCCACCACTTGTGAACGGATGTAGTGAGTGTAGTTTCAAACTATATGAGGGGTAGGCAGTATGTCACTTCTTATGTGTGAGCCTGTTGCATAGCTGGGAGGAGAGGAAGAGAGGAGGAGGAGCAGGACTGTGGGGAGTTCATCTTTCCTGTCCAGCTCCTACTTTCCCCTGTCTCAACTGCTCCAGGACTTGCGGTTCTCCCCCCGGCGGGCAACAATGGCTTCTCCTCGTAAGACAGGCACATGGGCTGGAGCGGTGAAGTCTCCTGTGCGCCGGCTGGTCCGTTCGCGGAAGGACAGCCTGTCTGGGCGAACCAGCACCCCATACCCTGGTTTACAGTTGAAATATCGATGACCTCCAACTGAGCCATCATTTTTACCTGTAGGGAGAAAATAAAGGTCGCCACCACTGATGAAATGTCATCCAGATTTATACTGCAGTCACCATTTAAAGGCAGAATGTTAAAGGTTAAGTTTGTTATTTTATAGGTTATTTTTAGGTTTTTGTGTCTAAGTGACTGATGTTAGCAACTCTTTTTTTAAACTGGTCCAGTACTGAAGGAGACTGCTGCAGTTGGCAGGGGCGTCCACTTAAATGGAGCCTGTTGGGTGGCAAATAGCAATTTTGGGGCTGTTTCTGGTTAAACATTATGAATCTTGCTCTTAAACAAAAAGATCTATCTGTGTAGGGATCTTGTCCATAAGTTGTCAGTGACTTAAAATAATCTGAACACGTCAGTGACTAAACAAGCACTATTTATTGGTCAAAAATAATGTTTTGTGGCTACCGGCTGCAGCACTCTCGCTAACTACTTAAAGGAATTGTTCATTGGTCATTTAGACACAAAACATGAAAAAATGGGGGTCAGGCTGAAAAACACCAAAATGTATAGTATTACAGAACCGCAGTCTCATGTTGTTAACACTACAGTAAGGTTATCTCTTTAATGACCATTGCTGTTTTACACTGCCAAAACCTGATGCTTGAGGAGGTGGTTTATCATCTATTTGTGTAATTTGGGTGAACTGTCCCTTTAGCTGAGTACCTACCTACAGGGGTGTCCAGCTCCACCCCCACCCACACGCCATCAGCAAACTGTGTCACTCCCACGTAGCGCACTGTCCCGGCTTTATTGCTTCCTACTGTAACATACGCCCCTTCTGTCAGCCACTCAGGCAGTACTCCATCATGGCTGCGCTCCTCATCATCCACAAAGATCTCCAGCCTCTCAAAGCCTTCACCTCCTCTACCTCCTCCACCTCCTCCTGAGTTGACCAGCTTGTGTTCAGAGAAGGAGTTTTCCGTAGTGACGTTGTTGTGATTGGCTGAGCTGTGGGCAGTGGGTGGAGCGACGGCGGCCATCTTGGCGCCACACTGAGAAGGAGAGGTTACAACATCATTCCTGTCAGCACCCTGCTGCCGGGGGTTTGTGGGTAACGTAGTCTCAGCGGCCAGGAGGGAGGAAGACGAGGAGGAGGGTTGGAGAACGTCAGACAGGGTAACTGTAGAAACACTACTGGAGAAGTAGCCGCTTGATGACTGGCTGAGGGGGCTGAGGGGGGTGATGTCATGCGTGTCATGCACAGGAAGAGGAGGGACTTCTGGGAACTCTGCCCGTTTGTCTTTGGTTGGGGGCCGTAGAGTAGCAGTCTACAGGAAAGCAACAGTTGCCACAGGAACAGAGGGACAGACAAGAGCATGCAGTCAAGGCAAGACATAATAAAATAATCAGCTATAATAATCAACTTCCCCGAAAATGTTACAGTCACCTGTTATGTGCAGCATAAAAACATTTTGTAGAACCATTTGCATCTTCTGCTCATGTCTATTTTTGACATTTACAGCCATATCCTATACTGACAGCACAAATAGTCGCCCTTTGCATCATCAAGAACTCATGTAGAACCAGAACTGCAAATTAAAGGGCTGTTCCAACAATTATATACCTGAAGATATGTTTACTTGCCATGTTGATCATGACTCAGCATGTGAAAGGCTTTGGGGTGGGCTGAAAATAATACCAGTGATGTCGTAGTGATGTCATCAGGGTTACTTGTTTAATCCTTGCTGCAACAGAAAGTCTGTGGTACAAACTGGGGACGTGATGTTTAACAGACGTGGGTATTTACCAGGCAGAGATGGTCTAACAGAAAGACACTGCCAGCTGTATTATTGAAAGTTTAGGATTCAGTGTTTCTGAAGCTTGACCCAAACTATGGATCAAAATTCAGAATATCTCAGTCTCTGCCGCTTCAACAGTCCCAATATTTATGGTAGAGCAGAACTAAATTGCTGGACAGACCCCTTAATGTGATAGCAGTGGACGATCATGAAGGGAAGTTAGACAGGAGTACAATCTCACCGTCTCAGCCTTGACTCGATTGTCGTCCCCTCCTGATGTCACAATGCGAGGGACATGCTGCTGAGTAGAGACATGCAAGGTCATGACATGACAACACTTGCACATGTATGCATTCTTGTACTCTTGCCTAGCTGCCAGAGCCTGAAATAAACGAGTTTGACCAGTCCAGCATAATTTACCACTAACTATATATTGAACTTTTTAATCCTTTTTTCATCAGCAGGGCTAACTGAATCTCACCCTGCTCCACTATTCACACAGTTAAATAAAGACCTGAGTATTTTGGGTTGCACTGAGCTCTATTAAAGTGTCTCTGCTGACCTGCTGGTTGTGTGGCGAAGGTCTAAGCTCCTTCTTGTCATCTCGCACCGGAAACAGAGACTTAAGCAGTTTGGGCATCTGAGGAACCAGCGCCTTAACTGAAAGATAAGAGGCAGCAAGTCCTGAACGACCTGGGGGAGGGGATGAGGAGGTGAGAGAAGAGGAGACAGAGAAGGAGGTAGAGGAGAGGAAAGAAGCAAGGTAAAGAGAAGCAGGTGTGGAAGGTAGAGGAGGTGTGAAAGATTAAGACAGAAAGTTGAAAGCACGTCCAGGAAATGGCAAAACCCCAACACAGTGATAGACTGGCAGAAGAAGACATCAGCTGGCCGTAAGACACACAGACACATCCTAATCACAGGACTGTCAAACATAAATTACTATGAAAATCATTAATTCTGTTCATTTCATGAACCGAATTAATCTAAAGCACAGCACAGTAACATGAAATCTGACATGGGCGAGAAGTCACTATGACAGAAAAAATACAGAATGATCAGACTCCACCAATAGATTACACTGGAAAGCTTTTGTAATGAATTTGAGGAGATGAGAGGAGGTCACATTGCGTTAGCCAAAGGAGGTTACAGAAATGGTGACACCAAAAGGAGCAGGAAGAAGAGAAAGATTACACATTACATTTTGCTAGGAAGGAAGGAAGTGGAGACCCAGCAGATAGATACTAATGTAAACAGTGAGACTTGAGATTGTGTAGTAAACCATCGTATTTTGGCAACATCAAACAGAAAGAGAGGAGTCTCATGATTAAGCTCAAAGTATTATTGAGATCAGCACACAGTGGAAATGGATGAGCCCAACTGGGAAGAGGAAGAGAGGAGCATGAAGAGACGCAAGAGTTGGGAGTGTAGCAGAAATGTCTTAAAGAATGTATGGCAGAGAAGAGAGTAGAGGAGAGGTAGAGGTAGAGGGGGTGCAGGGGGGTTTACCTTGCTCTGGTTCCTGGTTCTGTGGGGATGTCATCCCGAAGGGAGAAGAGGATGAAGAAGGGGAGGTGGAGTAGGTGGAAGGGGAAGAGGCGGGCCGGGGGAGGGTGCGGTGAAACTGAGATGGCATGAAGATATCCTGCTGACTCTCCCATCGACCCTGAGAAACAGAAAAACAACAGGATTGGTTTAGAAATAATGACATTTGTAATCAGAGCTACCAAATGTCAATGCTACATATATGAGAGGATCTATACATGACATCTGGGTTAGTCAAATTTTCATATTTGCTACTTTAAACACTAAGTGGCAGTTTAGGTCATCAGACTAATAATTACCACCTGATCCTCAATTAATTGCAAAATATCTGAACTTATCATTTTGAACGACTGCTGTTGAGAACAATCAACATGTAGAGACAAGAAGCAAAAAGTGTGTTACCTTATCATCCAGGCAGCTTGTGGACAGGTCTTGTCTACTTCCAGACAGCTGAGGATGGATGGACATACAGAGAGAGTGAGTATATTGAGATAAATCATATCATATTGCAATACATTACAGTGTCTTGTAGTGCAGTATAATAGCATTGTATTTGTGTTTTACCCTGTGGACAGAAGGAGATCTTATGCTCCGTCTGTTGCTCTTCCCTCTGCCTGTCAGCTGCTCCTTCACTGCCACCTCCTAAAACCCACACAGCTTATTATCAACATTTTTAAAAGAACAAAACAGATAGTACAAGTACAAAGTGCAAAAAAATAAAATAAAACTAAATCACAATTCTAATAATATATTAATATTTTGACAAGTCATGTGTCTTCTAGGATGCTGTGTGTTAAAACTTGACATATTCTGTGTGACTTCATGCCTACCTATTGACTAATGGACCTAATTACTATCTATTTAAGACACTGTCTGTATCTCTACTAGTTTCTCCACCTACCTGTCTGAGTCTATCCAGAGTCAGGATGTTCTCCAGACTGAGGACACTGCGGAGGTATTTTTCAATTGCAGCCTCGTCATCACCTGACTGGCTGTTGTGTGCGCTGGCAGCGAGGTTGGCAAGCATCTCCCTGTCCTCTGAACCAGGGGCATCCTGATGGGACAAATCATCATTTAAACTTCTGTTTAATAATCGACCTGCTCAAAGTTTCTTGGGCAAAGCACTAAACACATGATATTTTTCCCTGGCCTTACCCCAGGGATGTTAGAGACCACTTCGAAAGTGACCCCACAGCCAGGTATGGTGCTGCGGGTGGACATCCTTCTCAGAAAGTTGTGTGCAAAACCCTGGCGGCCTGGATTAACGTTAACGCAGATCCTCTTTCTCAGGACCAGCTGCATGTCGGCAGGGTGGCTGAGCTGAACCACAACTCGAATCGTCAGGTATACCCGCTGCTCCGGCCATACTCCCCCACGACTAAGCTGGGGACACTCGTGTACGGTAGAATCCCATGATGCCTCTGCTTTCACCTGCAGGGTCGACAAACACAAATGGTTAATAAAACGTTTTCCTGAACGGACTACAGGAATTCCTCAGAAACTTAACCCATGCAGATCCATCCTCACCTCTCCATCGTAGTGTTTGACGATTTGTAGGTCAAAGAAGTCGTCTTCATCCTCTCCACTCAGGATGGCGTCCCAACCTCCAGCCTCAGGAACCTCAAACTGGTCTTGAGAGCTGAGGTCATCAGCTGAGAAAACCAATATAGAACACTGTAAATCAGCTTGGGAGCTGAAAAACACGAGTAATATGTATTATTTAGTTAAGAAGAAACATACGTTTGAGGTTCAGGAAGAGGACAGGAATATGAGTCTCCATGCCTGGCAGAGGAACCCTGTGAACAAACACTGTGATCAACATACTTATACATATACAAGGAGCCTATAGCTGAGTGGTTACAGTGCGTGCCATATAACCCCAATGCCCCTGGTTTCATTTCCAGCATGTCATACTGCCCCTCTGCCATTTTGAGACTAACCTCTATCAAATAAAAGCAAAAATGCCTGCCTAACAAATCTTGGGGGAAAAAAAACATATATACTTGTCTATATATATTAAATAAATGAAATCCAAGACACACACAAATTCTGCCATGTGTCATACCATTCAGCAGGTGCTCCAGGAATGCCGCAGCCAGCAGAGGGCACCATAACAGCGTTTCTTTCCTCTGTCAGAGTCAAACGCCACTCCAGCAGCTGGGCCTCCCTCTCCACATCATCCTCTGTTTTTTCTGTACACACAACAAGGCTCAAACATTTAACACTTCCTAAACCAAACACCATAAAACATGTAACTAGCTTCATACTGCAGACAAGCTGTAGACCATATCAACCCTAAAAGAAGGCAGACTTTTAAACGTATAAGCATGTTTTATCAACGTTTTGTTTGACTGTGTGTGTGTGTTCGGGTGATACCTGCTTTGCTGACCAGGCTCTGCAGGTGCTGGTCGAGGTATTCTTGTCTCTTTGTGAGAGCAGCTAACCACTGTCGCCGTAAACGTTCGAGGTCTCTTTCCTATTCAACAAAGCAGTCACTTAATAATCTTTAGCTTTAGTTCACCTGCAAGTGACTTTAAGACTAATAGACTTACTTAAAGAGGCAAACAGAGTGTTAACAGAGCTGTAATAAAGTGATTCACCTGATAACTGTCCATCTCATCTCCTTCCTGGTTTGATGTGGTGTTTCTAATCTCCACACAACCCACTGACACTGCAAGCACTATTTCTGCAATAAGAGGCATGGTGCCTGAGTCCTGAACTGAACGCACATCCACCTGGAGTCGCCTCGATTGACCCTGGAGATGAAGAGGGAAAGTTTAGAAAATATTTAGAAGTTGGCTTATTAGCTGAAGTTTTCTGGTTGCACCTGCTATGACCAGGTTGGCTGGTGTTGTGTTAAGGCTTTTCCCTACCTGCCGAAGCTGGAAGACTCCTCCAGTCCGCACATCTCTGCCAGGAACCACTTCCACTGGGACAAAGTCTCCATTCTCGTTTATCTCAAGGATTTGAATCCACAGCTCTAGGCGACGCGTTACCTCACTCCACCTACAAAGACAAATATTATAAGCAGATCTGAGCAACACTAGTACAATGTTTTTTAGTCAGTTACTACAAAGCTAGTCTTGCAAGCAAGACGAAGACTCGGAGGAGACTGCGTGTGCCTACCTGTCTCTTAGTGTGCGTGTCTTGGCCTGAATGATGCTAAGGTCCCACAGGGCAGGGTTTCTCCCTGCATCAGCCTGTCTGTGTCCATACACCTCAATGGCAACTGCCCCTTCAGTCAGGTATTCGATGAAATCCTCTGTTACTGACACTGCCACCTCCTACAAAAGAAAAGACAGATCAGTCTTATACCACCACTTTTTTTTATAAATAATTGCTTTCCAACTCTCTATGTGTCAATTAACCACAATAGCAATTAAACCCAAACTGAGCTCTCCCTCTCAGGCTTCACCTTGCAGCTGTCAAACACCACCATGCAGTGTGGGTCCTTAGTGCTGGGTGACGAGGACGATGGGTCCACTTCGGGAGCCACGATGAAGGGCTCAGGCTGGTCCCAGAATGAATACTGACAGAAGACGAAGTTGGACAGGAATTGGGGAAGACCAGTTGCCTGCAGAATCTTAATCTGGAGATGATACACAGGCCAAAAGTCAACAACATCTCTCTTTTGTTTCAACAAAAACTGAACATCACAATCTCCATGTACGTAGAATTAATCACAGGACTGTTGTGTGAGACACCATTAAGTTTAGGTGGGTGTCCCTAATGAACTGGGAACTGAGTGTATAATGAAAATCAAAGTCAACTAAACACACTTGGAGCTCCTTGATCTATAAAACAAAGCTCCTGGAATGATTTTAACCTACTGACTTAATCAGTTCTGCATAACGAAGATAATCTACTTCTCGCTGATGATATGTCTGTCTTACCATGCAGACCAGTTTGCGATCCTGGACTTCAGTGTCTTGGTTGTTGTCAGGTTCATCTCCTCCAGCCATGTTGTCCTCTAATGCCCCTCCAACCCTCACCACCTCCACATGAAGACGCCCTGCCACCTGACCACGGGAGAGGAGAGGGGGAAACATATATGTCTGTGACTGTAGGTTTGTCTACTCCAAAGCTACTCATCCACCACTGGAGTTCTATTGTGAACATACAGCTAAAATGTCCTTTCCTACAACTTTCCTTGTATTTTGCTATCATACTTCAGCAATCTGTAAATATGTGTATCATCTGAATATCGTGATGTTTGACTCTGACGTCCATGACAAACGAGGAATCAAAAGACTACTGATCTCAACACAACAGAAACTACATTGAAGAAAAAAAATTATAATAGATTAGAGACTCGTATGAAAGCTCTGATTCCTTACTGATTCATCTGTTAAGGATTCTTCTTTAGGATAAAGAGATGGAGATTCACAAAAGAGACGTATAAATTAAATTCATAACCAGCAAGTCTGTGACTACCTACCTCTCCCTTCTGGTTGATGATGGGAACAGCGTACTGCAGCTTGACGTCATAGAACAGACAGGAAAGGAAGACATTTGCAACGCCAATCAGACTGTGGTTTTCCTGCTCGTCAAAGAACGGATCTGCTCGTCGGAAATATGAGCGCATCACCTGGACAAGGATAAAAGGAGAACATAGAATACAATGCAGGGAAATTTACTGTATTAGTACTTGTTTCTGTGTACACCTGCTTAGTGACAATGCTGTCCTTGTGACCTGGCAGGGTTATTGAAAGACTTCACTGGAAATCTGACAAGCTAACTCACAGGGTTGTCATGATGATGGAGGTTGTAGTCCTGCCACTCTTGGTACAGCTCTCTCATGTCAACCAGACGATTCTCCATCTTCTCTAGACTCCAGATCTGCTTCCCTCGACACCGCCGTCGAACCTGAATCGCTGGTTCACTGAGCACTGCATCCCTCTACACCACACACACACACACACACACACACACACACACACACAAGTGTATTTAAATAATTTGTTGTGTTTAAAACAGAGGACAAGAAATTTGTTCATGTGTGTCTACATGTTTGTGTATGAGACCTTGCGATTTGCGTTGAGGTTGTCTGATGGGATCTGCAGAGTGACTCTGTACTCTGTGTGTCGCTCCAGTTCATCAGAGATGAAACAGGCTTCTTGCACCAAGAGGTTTGCCCTCACAATCTGCTCCCTCAACCGCCGCAAACTCCTAACCAACACCGCCTCCCTGAAGGAGGAGAGAAGGTGGCAGAAAAGAAGGGGAGACAGAGGTGAAGAGGAGGGAATGCAGGGGGGAGGTGTTCAGCTAGCATTCATAATCCACATGGACATGAAATAGATTTTTTTTATGTCTTTATTCAGTGTGCAGCAATATTTCTGTCTCTCTAACACGCACCCACACCCACACCCTCACCTGTCCTCATTCCACTGCCTCAATCTGCTCTGAGCACTAGTTGACTGGCTCATTCCTCCAATACTGAGTCTCTCCAGGCTGCGGTAGTGAGACTGCTGTCCCGGACCTTGCTGGCCCGATGCAGGCCCTCCGGAGGGACTGGTGGACAGACGGTCCGGGTTCAGCTTCTTGCGGAGCTGCTGGAGTTCCTGCTCGTACATTTGTCTCTGTCGCTCCAGAGCGGAGCGCTTCTCCTCTTCATGCTGCCTCTCCAGAGACTGCAGCACTGCTTGCATGGGGTCTGACAGGACAGAATATAGAGTCAGAAAACACAGGGGACTGAACTATTGTTCACTGCAGCATATAGATATATATAGCATCCTTACCATTGTTGCCCAGAGCCTTCATCATGACCTCTGTCTGGGCAAACTCATAGGAGAAGCTGACCTCACTGGACACTTCACTGGCTGTGTCACCATCTGCATCCAGCTGCTCACTGCTGCCACTGTTCTTCATCACGCCACCCTCACCATCCTCTTCCTCAGCTCCCCGAGAGCGCCGCTTAGGCAGGTTGATCCTGCAGGTAGGATTGGTGAATTGTCAGCCATCAGGTAATATGATCTATATCCCACACAGAACTGGTACACAACACATCAATGGGATATAATACCAAATCTGGATTTCATATGAGGAAGTGGGTGTAATTAAGGTGTGTGCAACTGGTGTAAGATGACAAAAGTAGTTATAAAAATATTGAGTAATATTTTATCATATAAAAACAGATGAAAAGCATTAAAATATTTAAAAATGTAAACAACATTTAGAGTGCATAAAATCACCTGAAGAAGTGGTTGTTTCCCCAGAAGATGCGGTCGCCATGGTGAAGCTGCAGAGCACTGGTCACTGGAGATCCATTAACACATGTCCTGTAACACAATAAAGACAGCAATTCCATTACTGTTAAAACAAATGTAACGACATCTTCAGTGGTAAAGAACTCTTAACCCTCTCTCTTGCTTTTCCCATCCACACAGCAGCCTGTTCTCATCTCTCAGCCTGGACTTTGAGTCTGTGATGTTGGTGTTCCTTACCGAGCATTGCGGTAGGGGGTGAGGATGACTGCACTATCTGCAGTGATGTCGATGACACAGTGCTCTGCCTGGATACCCATCCCGCACAGCTGGATGTCCTGAGAGTCTGCAGAGCCCACCTTTGTGTGTTCCTGAGACACAACATTCAAGAAATGGCTGTATGTTATCAGAAAAAAATCAGACAATAAAAATAAATGTGACAAAGTCATGTCTACTGGAGAAAAGCCTCTACACAAGCTGGTAAAGTATCCATTTTGGCTAGAAATAGAATCAAAGATTGTCTTGATATGATTTTATCAGAGGGCTGTACCATAAAGCAAGCTGGACAGAGCCAGGCTTTCTTTGCCTTAGCTGGCTCACATAGAGATAATGGGCACCACAACAGTGGTTATCCACTGTCTTTGTTGTTACAGGCTTTCTTCCTCAGGCTCTCTGTGTGTGCCCATAAAACCTGTCAAATGATGCGTTCGATGCGTCATTTCCAAAATTTCCAAAATGGATTAATCACATGTTGCCTACTTCCACCTCCAAAGAATATTAAAAACTAGTATTAAAGTAAAAAGCAACACTGCTGCTTCAATTAAAGCCAGAGAGGTATGCTGGCAAATAATTGAAAATATTTTTATTGAATGCATATTTTTATTGATTGAATGTTATCTGTATTAATACCAATAGACTAATCAATTTTCTTATCACTGTTCTATTAGCTGTGATATACCAGCAGTGTGAAACAGACTTGAGCAAATCAGGAGCAGCATAAAAACACAATTCAAAGTGATAACATTATAATGTGGTTTGAGGGAACTATACTGCATTTCATATGTGAGTAAAGGTCATACTCATTAGTGTAGTATAAAAGGCTTATTTTTATAGCCAGAGTGGGGAAATGGCCAGGCAACACTACAGACATACTGAGTATTCCAATGGGAGCAAGAAAAACCTTACAAATAAAACCACTGATAAGCCATGACAGCCCAATTTAGATTAATTTCCTGTGTCACATGGGTTTCACCACTGCCCTGCCCTTTGGGAGAACAGCTGCAGTCCTGAGTCTTTTCATTCCTGTGGGTAAAGTCAAAGTGAGTATCGATTATGACAAATTATTTTATAGACCATAGTCACCCAAATAAATATTGGTCCCAGTTTTCGCAAGCCACATAACCTCTGAAAATTTTGACACTAAAATGGCATTTTTCATAAAAGCAAATCAGGAGAAATTTAACTTTTTTCAAGACATGCCTGTCTAAGCAACCCAGTCTCTTGAGATCTGGCAGCACAAAATCCCTTCTCTCTGTGGTGCTGAACCGTTGGTTGGGTTTCATTCTCACTGCAGTGCTGCTAGTGGCGCTTTCCAACCAAATAAACAGATAGCAAAATAGCCTTAGATGTGGAGCCATTTATCAAAAGTTAAAACGTAAATAAAACTTGTGTTTCTTTGCTTATTAATATTGTTACGGTTATTATTTAACTGTTTTTGGTGGGGGAAAAGAGAATGTCCTTAGATCAATGTGACCTTGTATTGGCTTGATATCAGATATTGAGCAAGCAGATAAAAACGAGCAGCAAAATAAGGAGCAAACATTACATTTGTAATGTGTATACAGTGTTGTATTGTTTTAAATCTGCTTTTCATCTATCCATGCAATGATTACAACACTTCCAAATGAGGTGTGGGGATAAGCGGGAGAGACTACGCCCTCTCAGGAGACCAGTGGTATGTACCATTTCATACCATTGGTGTAGCTTGTAATGTTTTATTTTTTGTTATAGAGTATCTTTGATACGGATCAATAGGTTTGCTTACAGATTCCCTCAGCTGAGAATCTGTATCTCTTGTAGATAACACTGTCAGGAAAAGCCTACATGTGTATTTGGCATCTCTCCCTCTGAATAGAAATGTCTTTTCACTCAGAAACACTGAACTCTGACTAGTCCAGACCAGGTAAGATGTGCATCTTTAGTTACCATGGCATTCTAGCCAGGGACAGCCACCTTTGCGACATTGATAATTCTGGCTATAGGCTCAAAATACCTCACTAACCCACTAGGTCTGCTCTGTGGTGCGCCCCTCTGTTCTGATCGAGCCGTTCAAACAACAACTTGATTGTTTTTTCTTGAAAGCAGTTTTGTGCTTTCAAATTTGGTATAGTTGGTGCAATTCCCATCTTGAGGCTTCCCACATCACAAAAACACTTTTTTCCACAAGCACTTACTATCAGTCAGATAAGTTATGAAAAAAAAAACTTTAGTTTACATAATCCAAATACTGTGCATGTATAAAGATTTGTTTTGAGATTGAATTCATGTTATGTTTAAAGTGCAGATGGATTGGAAAATGTGCCCAACAGATAAAGAACCAATTTAAAGGGATAATATCAGTAATAGTGTTTGGTATTCTGTATAAATAGGGAGGCACAAAGTACTGCATTATGAAGAATGTGCATGTGAGTGTACCTTCAGATAGTACACCAGCAGTTCATTGAGAGCAGGATCGGCGTTAAGGTTGACAAGAAAACTCTTATCATCTCCAACTTTAATCCCTGAAGACTGAAGAGAAATACCCAGACTCTCTAACTGCTTCTGACGCTCCTACAAACACATAGACACAAAGATCATTTTCAGACAGTGTAGAAAATCAAACCAGGAGTGACAATGTACATTAGCTCAATACGTTTGGTTTAATAACCATATGTTCTGTGTGTCTTACCTGTGCAATCTCCTCAGTTTTACGAAGCTTCTCCTCCCAGGTGATCGTCATCTCTTGAATCAACTTTTCTGACTCTTCCAGACGGTCTTTCAGCTCTGGAGCCTTTAAAGACTGGAGGAAAAACAGCAGATGAGAGTATAGGCAAGCAGAGATATCTATTTATATCTATATATCTATAGCTGATTTCTGAGATTCCTAAGATATCTCACCTCTGCCTGAGTCAGTTGTTCTCTTAGTTTCTCTACTTCCTCTCGGAGTTCCCTGATAATGCGAGCATTGGGATCTTCGTTCACGACAGCATGGTTAACAATGTTCTTTGCTCGGTCTGCATAGCGCAGTGTCGATAGCGTCTCCTCATAGTTGTCTGCTGCTGGACTCACAGTTGCAACCATCGCTGTGCGACTGTTGCCACCCAGACAGTCCTGGAGAAAAGCAAATACGCAAGATGCAGAGAACACGGACACAGAGAAATTTTAAGAAAATACAGAAAAGGCACTGGATAGTCAAACGAGGGAGATGTATTTTCCACTGTTTCTGATAAACATCTTCATGGTGTATGTACCTTCAGTAGCCATGTCAGAACAGAGTCTCTGTAAGGAACAAACTTGTTTTTGTTCTTGGCTGTTCCCTGTTCAGCTAGCGCCGAGATCACCAGGCCCAGGGTGGTGAGAGACCTGACAAACACACAAAAACACTGCAGTCAAGTGCTTTCCATTTCATTTCATGTATCTGTTCAGAGGTTAGTTTCACTATGTCCCTGTTCCTTTAGTGTCTCTCACTATTTGTGTGTTGGGATTACTAACATTATACAATGACTATGGTGAAAGCTAAGTTGCCGCAGCAGGGCATTACTATAAACCAGCAACACACATTGTATGTTTTCTTTCACATTTTAGTCTAAAGAGTGAAACGACAAAACTCTGTGGTTAGAAAAAAATGTCTTGCGAAAGAACGTAACACTGCCAGAGAGAAAACATCTGTAAGACAATTTGGGGTTTAGACTCGAAAAAACAGCCTGATGGAACACCCAATCATGGGGTTTGTGTGTGTGTGTGTTCAGTGTGTCTATGTTGAACTGCTTTTGCATACTTGTTGATGTTGCTTCCCTCCTTGAGTCGTTCCCCTGCTGCTCCAGTCTTTGCTGCTCGCTCACTCCCGGCCAAATCTACCAGACTCAATCGACTCACCTTCTCCCCGCTTGTCTACAGAGAAAGAGAGGCGGAAAGAATGAAAGAAAGTTTGATTATCATCTCATTCTCTACAGTATATTCAGCTGGCAACTTGTAATTTCTTTATCTAAACATCAACGGTTCCCATACTGTTCACTAGCAAAACTTCCTAGGTTTTGTGGATAAATGTTTCTGTTAACATTTCTATCCAAACTAGACAGCTTTCAGTTTGCTTTGGTGGCAAACTGCACCAAAGGTGAACTTTGCACAGACTATGTTTATTCTATCACTGGCCATAACTGACAGTATTTGACATTAGGTAATATTGTCAACAATGAATTACATCATCAAACTCCAGAATGACTCTAAATGACATATGGCATATATGTTTTTAACAGCAATAATGGCAGTCTTAAATGCCACTTAAATGCAGCATCATACAGTTTCAGTGGGCATGGGCTGATTTTAATTTGTGACCACTGTAAATTCAATAAGCTTTTATCCTCCCTCTTTGAACTGTATGTTCACAAGCTGCTCAGATTCAGGATGTTCAACCATATGGTGATAAGCACTGCAATGTCCAGCCTGGTCTAAGACATACAAATGTCTTGGAGCTGCAGTCTAGGACATTAATGTAGCTCTGGGTGTGCTGACATTACTGAAAGCACTACTACCATACATCCACATGAGGTCTAACAGGACTTTGATGGCTCAATAATCACAGAGGAGGCACTACATCAAGGCAATCCCTGCTGGGTTTTCAGGAGCTTTCGACTGAGAATTACTCTGAATGGCCAGCATGACAGCAGTAGACAATCCAGAAATAAACAACAAGGTGTTTGGCTTTATCAGAAAGCTCCGCCGTCAATTTGATCTCGTTTGGCTGGATGCTCTTGTCCACTCTTGCTCAGAAGACCTTCTCTATGCTTTCTCTGATTGCTCTGATTCTACTGATCAGGCGCTGCCAAAATGTTCAGTTAGTGTTTAGTTTCTCATCTTTCAGTCCCTTGTTGACAGGCTCCATCGGTTTCTTCTCATGGGCTGCTGAAGATTTGGATATCACATTGTAATCTACACTGGGACAGATCCACTCCTGGCTGAGCGTGACAGGTCAGTGGCTGACAAGGCTGAATGTAACACCTGATCTTCATCTGCTGCACAGCAAAAGCAGCAGCTCAAAATCAGCAGATGCAGTCCTCTGTCTGGGTCAACAGTGGACCGATTCAACCACAGCACTATCGCAGGCTCAGAAGCATTTAGCCAAAGGCTAATACACCAACATGTACCTTGCGTGTAAGACACAAGTGAAGTATAAACCTTTGCATAGTCAGTACAGACAGCTGCACTTCTTAAATTTAATATATACATTTATTCCATCAGACTCTTGACTGAAAGTCTTTGGTGAAACATGTCTGGTGTCTGCTAGAAGTCTTTACAGTAATAAAGCTCTGAATGGAAAGAGTTTTCCCATTAACGTCACAGAAACAATGAGGTGCCTGACACTGCCCAGATCCTGTGATATTGTCCTCCTTGTTGAGGAAACAGGTTTACTCCTACACACTCATAGCTCCATGAATCAGTCTCCTGCTATCTTCTTTAGTGGTATGAACTTTGTAATAATGAAAACTTTCAACTGACTGATAAACACACCTCTTTAACAAATGCCTCTCGTAAACCTCTTCCAAAAGAGTGTTTTTTCCACATTTTTACAGAACTTTGCCTAAAAATAATCTACTGCCGCTCCTCACAGCTGTCGTCCTGCATTTCATATGAATGCTTCTGTTTTCAGATACTTAAGTGATCATCATAAGAACACCGCAACCTCTGAAAATCCACCTAAATCCACGTGATGCTGAGAAATAAAGCACATAAAAATTTGTTTACTAAACTTAGTCATGAGTGCTGGACAAAAGACTGTAAGAGACATATACACACACTTCGTTCTTTTGCATACAGAAACCTGTAACATGGTGGTGGAGCTCTGTGTGATGGAGAGGAGAGTACAGGGTATGTGTTCCTGATAAATGAGTGTGTGAGTATTGTGAGAACAAAGAATAAAATTTGATCGTAAGAAAAAAACTTATCACACATCTCACACCACATTAAAATTCCAGGCAAACTTAAAACCTGTAAAGATCCAGACTCAGAACTAACTGATAAAGATCAATTTCAACTGCACTGATACAGATCAGCCTCAGCCCAGCACTGCTTCCGATCCCCAGAGTACAGCAAATTATTAAACAACCAAGAGGTTTTATATCTGGGACACTGAGCACATAAACTCCAAAAATAGACTACAACTTCTTTTTTTTAATAGGGCCAGAATCTGTAAATAGCTACGACAGAGCCAGATAGAGGAGGGGCAAAGCTGGTGACTGTGAACACCAGTAAATACAGCAGGAAGCTAAAACTTAGAGTAATTCAATAATTACAGCTCCTTATGGCAATGAACAATGACTAGAACGTACAGTGCCAGGTCCTGTTACCTGTTGGTGTTAGACTTGGAAATAAATACCAGTATACCAACTCTACTTTGCTTTGTTTATCAATGTGCATGTGTATGTCTCTGCATTTTTATCAACAGTGTACAGTATGCAGACACTCTTTGGTTCTATTCAATTTTTAGCATCTAGCCGGATGATGAAACAGTGAAAAGGAGGAAATACCAGCCACTGTGGCATTTTCCTTTCTTAACAAGGGATTCTGTAACCAGGAGAGATGATACCTAGGTCAGTAACCAGATCAGTAGGCATGACATTCAGCTTGTCTGACTACTTGGCAGTGGCTTTAAGGTACCAGCACAGAACAAGTGTGAGAGCATCAACATACTGCTCCATATGGTAAATAATCTAGTAGATGTCATCATGTGAAAAAAGAAAAAACAATCTCTTTTTGAACTCTGAACAACACTAAACCAATTCACCAAAGCTTAGCTAGAGTTAGCAAAACACAGAACAAAATAGCAAACAACTGAGAGGTGGTGGCAAATGGGGCCAAAGTGCAACCTGATTGAACTTTGAGTGTTTCATTTACAAGTCTGTGCAGGGCATGCTGCTGAAAGGAAATCCTGTGATGAGCGTCAGCATGACTCATCCAGCACTGGCTGATTTCACTACCAGTCACAGGTGGCTTTTTTTAATCGTGTCCCTTCATAACTGTTCCTGACACTGGCTGAGCCATTAGGGGGCACAGATGAGCTCCAATGCTATGATCACTAAAACAGAAGACGGTCTGCATATAATTAACAAGTAGCTGAACACTAAATCCAGTTACTTGAATGAGGTAATCAAATGTGGAGTCATTTTAAGGATGTAACCAATTATCATTTTCATTATCGATTCATCTAATAATGATTTTATGGGTTAATTAATTAATCTTTTGGCCCATAATAAGTCAGAAGATAATGAGAAATGCACATCACAGGTTCTCCTAAATCCTACTTTGTGTGAAGCTGGAACCAGAGAACGTGTCATAGTTTTGCTTGATGAATAATCTAAACAATTAACTGTAGTTTATTTTTCTGACCATCAATGTATTAGTATATATATATATATATATATATATATATATATGGTTTTCATATGCACTCCATGCATGTAATTAGCAAACACTCTGGGGCTTCAATATACATTAGTTGTTACTGCTTTTAATGGCCTTGAAACCCTGGTTAGCAGCCTGAAGATCAACTGTTGTTTGAAAGCACTGGAGGTATTTTTGTATACTGTGCACAGTGCTGCTTGTTGTTTTCCTTTGTCTTCTTCTGCACTTTAAACACAAGTCCAACATCCCTGACAACTGCTGAATAGAACAAAGCAACAAAATGTGGAACACAAAAACAGGCATTATACTAAATACTGAACATCCAGCACTATGTGAATAAGATATAGAACTAATTCACAGAAGCTTAAAGGGATAGTGCACCCAAAAATGAAAATTCAGTCCTCACATCCCTTGCGGAGATCGGCGGGGGAGCAGCCAGCACACCTAATGGCAGACGGCGCCCCAGACTAACGTCCAAGAACACAAAATTGAATCCACAAAGTATCTCCATACTGTTCATCCATAGTGATCCAAGTGTGCTGCAGCCCCAACATAAAAAGCTGTTTTGAAAAACGTCATATGAACTCTGTTTTTAGCCTCACTGTAGCCTTTAGCTCTGACTGCCTCACTGTGCTCGGCTCTCGCACTTGCACGCGACCAGCGAAAGCATGAGCTTAGCTCACCCGTGTTTACATCACGTGACACGTGCATCGCACGGGGAGACAACAGTAACCACAGTAGCTAAAAGATAATTTGCACTACGGTCTTTTAGCAAAGGACAGCCCAACATGTCTGAAGACTTTGAAATTGAGGAGGAACAGCACTTCTTTGTTGAGCCGTATTTGTTTGAGCCCGAGTATACGGACAGAACTCAGGCTACTGGACGAAGCAGCCACTGCAGTTCATGAGCCTCAACCTGCCGCAGAATACTGGAGTCGAGCACTGGAAACCTGGTGGTGTAGTTGTTTCAAATGCAAAGCACTGCCAACGGATGAGAAAGTCTTTGCTGCTCAGACTGGGAATTGGCGATGCCTGCACTTGAGAATCTGGACATTAGTACTGACGAGACTGCTGCTCTTCAGAGACCGTGCATCACCGATCACCCTGAGCGCGCACACGTGAGCGCGGAGCACAGTGAAGCAGTCAGAGCTACAGGCTACAGTGAGGCTAAAAACAGAGCTCATATGACGTTTTTCGAAGCAACTTTTTATGTCGGGGCTGCAGCACACTGGGATCACTACAGATGAGCAGTATGGAAATACTTTGTGGATTCAATTTTGTGTTCTTGGACGTTTGTCTGGGGCGCCGTATGCCATTAGGTGTGCTGGCCACTCCCCCCGCCGATCTCCGCAAGGGATGTGAGGACTCTAAAACTTCACCAGGGCCTCCGTCGGCATATGGGTGAGTAGATAATGGCTGAATTTTCATTTTTGGGTGCACTATCCCTTTAAATTGCACTAAATCAGCTCACATCTGGTTTAGTCAGACTTGTAGTGGTCAGAGAGGAGTTTCTTGTGAGAATGTTAACTCATTTTAAATTTTCAGTCTGTCAGTCGGTTGTTTTTTTATATTTAGAATGAAGAGACAATAAAATAACACACCTAAGACAATAAAGAGCTGACTGGTCCAGTTACAGGGTGTGTAAGCTAAGTGATTCACTCACTGACTACACAGTCTACACCTTAGCCGTTTGCTTGATGAACCTACTGACTGACTGACCAACTTAGTGACTGACTCTGGGTGTGCTTTGAAAACAGAGCAGGCTGTATCAGCTGACAAACTCAAAGTCATGCCTGTGAATTATTAACAGGATTCGCTGGTGGCAAGTTGGTCTGGAAATAAGAGCAAGATGCAGCAGAGCCTAAGAGGGTCGTCAGGATGGAGAATTAGTCATTGAGGTCTTGTCTTGGAGTGCCTGGTCAGACAGCTGAGCTGACATCATCCAATTTTGTAACTACCTTTTAACCCACTGGCTGCAGGGGATGACTGACAGACACTAGAGAAGTGTATGCTATTACACAGAGCAGACAAGAATGTCTGGATTCTATTAACAAAGGGATTCACTACTAGTACATCATAAGCCTATAAGATAAAAAGAAATTGGCAGTACTATAACAGAAAAACAATACCACATCCAAAATGAATTCACCAATTATTAGAATTCGTAAATGACCACAAGAAGTAGCAGATGGATTCTGGGAGAACAGAATGTGGGGAGGAAGGCATTTAATGTCTGATGATGTGAAAACTAGGGTGAACTTGAAATGCACCAGGGATGAATGGGACACACTGAAAAAGGATTGACTTCTTCAGATAACTGTAATACCAAACAACTTCTGTCCTAAAAAAGTATGTCAGTATGCCAGTGGCAGCTGAGGTCAGGCCCAGCGTCCAGCAGCCACTCTGGCCCCACACCATTCCACAGAGTGGGCACCATGGCCTGAACAAACGCTGGTCAGCTGTCAGCAGGCCCCACCCTACTGACCATCCCAGCCCAGAGAAGTAAGCACACTCATTATCTGGTGGACTTCATCAATGATGAATGATTGACAAATTCAATATAAGGCACCACAGGTCCAGATCCATCTAAATCCAGTTCAAACAGTATCACTTCAACACCTGCTATAAACGCCAATTATCTATATTTCTACTGAGACATACATTGAGCCCACGGCATCTCAGAAATTAATTTCTGCTCTTATCTGTTATTTAAAGTTTCCATTAAAAGTGATAAAAAACTATGCCCAGCCTGTGTGTGCGCGTCACATCTTACCCCAGACTGCAAGTCTTTCAGTGTGTGTGTGAGGATGATGTTGAAGACGGCGTGTGATCGACTGCTCTCCTCATTCATGTTGGTAGCAGCGACAGTCCGAGACTTATTCCCCTCTGACATCAAAGACTCAATGTCCTGTCAGAACAACAGAAAACAAACAATAAATAAATGAAAAATAATAATTAATGTTTTCCCATTTTGCTTCTCCCTGCATAATAACCTTTTACAACTGTGAACTGTTATACAGTACACTTAGTGAGGTTCTATACATGTTTATGTATTTAGTGACTGCTTCAATTGGTGAAGAGCTTGAGTCTCCTGGAAAGCCCACAATGAACTATAAAATGTAATTAATTCTGACATTTTTTTAAACTAGCCTCTCTTCGGTGTGATGGATGAGACTACTAAGCAGATTGGTGCTGAGAAAGAATGCAAATAAAATGCTCTGCTCATGTGTCGGCATAACACTGACACACTGGTCAGAGTGGCTGCCATCCGACGTAGCAGCCACAATGCAACAAAGCAGCAGACGTCAGTAAATCAGTGTGACATAAAAGCATTGTTAAAACAATTTGAAATAAGTATTTTTACCTTGTAGCTGGCCACAGCTAGTCGAGACAGGCCATCTACGTAGGGACCCAGAACTTTATGTTCCCTCACCCTCAGAGTTTGTCTACCCCTGGACAGAAAATAAAAACAGGTTTAAACACACACAAACACATCCACTCTTGGTAAATTACTATTCATCTGATTATAAGCAGGAGTGGCGGTATATGCTCAGCTGGTTCTGGCCACCACTACAACTTTCCACACTTCATAGAGACTTTGTTCGCACTTGGCTCTCTGACCCTGATTCAAACTTGCTCCAGGCCTGACAACTTCATCATTCTCAGCTCCACAGCAAAGCCCATATGGCTGTCAGATGGTCTGCTTCTCTTTGGCCCATTTTACTGAGGTTAAAGGTCACACAGTGACTGAAGGTCAGAGGTTATGCTGTCTGGGGCAGCAGACGCAGGCCTGTGCTCCTGATTTACTGCTGACCTGCTGGACATGAAGTGGACTCCATCAGTGACTGCAGGGCAGGGGAGTGATCTTTTCATTCACTGACCACAGCAGCTGGTGGTACCATAATCCATCAGCAACTTTCTCTGGTTCTACCAACTTACATATATACCGGTATATTTCATATATAGAGCCAAAACAACCTGCAGGTAGAAAGAAAATTATCCCTCCTTTCATCACAAGGTCAGAAGATTAGGTTTCTGGCATACCCTTTGGGGTCGAGCAGATCTCGGACCTTCTCGTTGTAGATCTCCATGTAGGACACCTCAACAGTGAAGCTCTCCTCCTCCCGTTCGTGACTCTGGGTTCGATCAAACAAAGCACTGCAGAGCCGAGGAATCAGACCTGGCTGGTCCCCTGAACCCATCATGGTGTACGACTTCCCCGAACCTGGTAACAACACACATAGACAATGGAACAGGTAATTAAAACAGCCTCATATACGCTAAGTGGCCACTACTTTAGGTACAAATGTGCAATCTAATGCAACTCAATACAATAGCTATGCCATAAATTCCACCACTCAACATTTAAAATGCTCAGTTTTGCTTGATATTGTGCAAAAATATGTAAATTCAGTGACATGTTAATTACTAGAGTTATAGTTAAAGGTGTTATTGGACTGAACTGGATTATATTAATCAAATTTTCCGTCAACATTGGTCTGATTTATCAGCTCTAACAACTTTTTGTTAAAAGATTTGTAGTGTTTAGATTATGTGTAGTCTGAGAGAAGAGATACATCTTTTTAGACAGTGACTACACTGGACATGTTCCAGCCCTGTTTTGTCAGTCATCAGTCCGATGGAAGAGAAACACTTGCATTTTAACAAGTGCAGATAGATTCCTCATACGCAACATTGCTTAGGTGTGTTTGGGTTTTAGCAATGATTGTGTAGATCTGTCATGCTTCCACTGGTTGAAAACTTCTTTTAATGCTTTGGTATTTTGTTTATTCTGGAGAGAAGAGAGGCTGTCCAACGTTCCTGCCACAACCCATCCACAATGACTCTCCTCTTTTAATCATTATACAGACAGCTTCAGGGCACTATGCTAACCGGAGCAAAGAGAAATTGTTCATATTGTGTCATGTAGTTATCTCTTAGGCTCTGTTAATTAATTTATTCATATCATAATGACTACAGGACAGTGCCTTGTCTTGTGATAAATTACCAGTTTGTCCATAGGCAAAGATACAGGCATTGTAGCCCTGGAAGGCATTGTGGAGAAGACTTTCCCCAAGGCACTGGAAGACCACCTCCTGACCTGGAGACAGACACACACACACACACAAGGAATTTTATTCTGTATCATTGTGAATATTTACTCTTCCCAAACTGAGCTGTCAGTTAATGAACTCACCGGCAAATTTCTCCTTATCTGTCTCATCCATGGACCAGAAACAGTAATCATAGGCAAAGACCTGGGAGGTGAAAACAGTAACAGTATGAGAGACATGAACAACAGAAACCTATAGCAGATAATAATGCCACAATGTTAACATTTAATAACAAATTTTGCCTTTTAATTCCAGTGCATTTTTTGGGAATATATACTAAACTGGGTCAACTAGGAAATATGATGTAGATATTATACATCTAATCAGTTTGATTCAATTAACTTTCAATTGAGGAACAGAGTTCGATACAAATGACTGCAACACTGTATTTTATGTTTCACGTGGTTTATGTGGCACCGTGGGACATTTTTCAGATGATGGAAAAAATATAAATGCTACACAGCCAAAAATATGTTAAAAAGTTACCTAGCAACAAGTATTCCTTGAGAGTTTAAAGTTTATGAGTTAAACAAAACATTTCTGGCAGAATTTGTTGTACAAACCATTACTTTGTGTCACTGCCTGTGCAGTGCAGTTGCTCCCAGTTCACAAACTGAGACGGAGAAATACAGCCACTTCTTTGTGTAACACAGATGATTCACAACCCTGGAATTAGCTCAGTGTTAAAAATGTCTGTGCATGTTTGTGTGTGTGTGCCGTTACCTTGGACTGGTTCCTGATGATGTTGGGAGGGTCAAGGTCCACAGAAGCATGTGGAGAGATAGAAAGATGACATTTAGTGAACATGTTACAGAGGATGCAGTATGTTAAGCAATTCAGAACAGGCTGTAGTGACGTCGCTTCAGGTTTCATCTGTTCCAAATTGAAAATGGAAATTATTTATCTTGTTATCTATGAATATTTTTAAATAATTATCATGTGTCACTCTAACTAGAAAAGTAAGGGAGAGAAACAAAGACACAGGTGAACAGAGATGGATAGAAAGACAAAGGCAGAGAGAGAGCCACTGGCCTCAGGCTCAGTTACTTTAGCACACATTTGATTCACAATCAGCCTTGTGCGTGAGTAGCTTGTTTACATCTTGTTTGTTTGTTTGTCACGTGTCAAACCATTTACTCAGGGGATTTGGTCTGTGGATGTCAAGGGTAGACACTGCATTCATCCCTGAGGGCTTGGGGAGACATAAAAATTCTCTGGGACTGGGTGAACTGTTGTGGGAATGGCTGTGTGTGGGCATATGTGTGTGTGTGGCACTGAGTGGTGGAGGGGGTTGGCACTGAGACTGGCAGAGGGTTGAGGTAGAGTGTGGTGGAATCAGATGGTGGCGTCGAGGGGTTACTGAGTCGAGGTCATGCTCAGAAATGAACAGGGACAAGAGGGAAAAATGCCTCTGAAAGTAAAAAACAAATTTGACATTTAAAAAGAGAAGGGGAATGGCCCCGATATCTGCATGATCTTTTACAGAAAAAACTGAGGGAATACATGTGCAAGCATGCATCTACAGTACACACATGAACCCACACACAAACATATCAGAATTCTGAGTGTTTAGCCAACAGTCATGTCCTTTAAAACTGATCTCCTCAGCACACAGACAATCCCTCCATCTTGCTAGCTCTACATATGAGGAATGTCAGAGCATCCAGATGAGGCAAATTGATTTTAAGAGGTATATTATAAAATGAAAAAGCAATTAAAACAATAAAACACTGACAGAAAGATACAGTTACGCAAAGATAAACCTTAAACATTTTATGCAAAACACAGAAAAATATGCTACATTTAAATTACAAGAGCACTCGATTTTTAACAAACAGTAATAGTACCAGATATGTTCTTAGACAGATTTCAGCACTGTTTATGTCCAGATATGCTTATGACTGGCCTATAATTACACTTACTCACCCTGTTAATATACTAACTGGGAGTACAGCAATTTTTCACTACAGTTTTCAGCACATGGACCCACTAACTGTACTCCTTTCATGGAGTGCGGAATTATAATTGTGCCTAAAATTAAGTTGGCAGGCAATAAATCAAAATATTTTCATAGCTCTCAAAGCATTAAGGGCACAGTTGTCTGGGCATTTCAGCATTTTTATGTCATTAGATTCAATATTTGCTTTGATCTGTAGTTGAGAAACGCAACGGCACAGATCTTGATATTACAAATTATGCTGATCACATTTAAACAACTCAGTTCCTGTGTGGTGCACTGAAAGAGCACAGGTTGGGGACCCTGCATACCACTAATGCATTGGAGCTGTCCTGAATATCAGTTGGGCATCAAAGCTTCCGGGAGAAATATCTATTGCTTCAGACAAAGGACAAAGGACTCGTCTCATCTCTGTTCTTGTTTTATTAGATCTTAGTGCGGCGTTTGACACAATTGACCATCAAATTCTACTGCAGAGACTGGATCGCTTAATTGGCCTAAAAGGTTCAGCACTAAGCTGGTTTAAATCTTATTTATCTGATCGTTTTCAATTTGTTGACGTTCGTAATGAATCATCCTTACGTACCAAAGTTTGTTTTGGAGTTCTGCAAGGTTCTGTGCTCGGACCAATCCTATTTACTCTATATATGCTTCCTTTAGGTAACATCATTAGAAATCACTCTATAAATTTCCATTGTTATGCGGATGATACACAGTTGTATTTATCGATGAAGCCAGAAGAAAGTAATCAATTAACTAAACTCCATAACTGCCTTAAAGACATAAAAAATTGGATGAGCACCAATTTCCTGATGTTAAATTCAGACAAAACTGAAGTTATTGTTCTTGGCCCCAAACAACTCAGAGACTCTTTATCTGATGACATAGTTTCTCTAGATGGCATTGCTCTGGCCTCTAGCACTACCGTAAGAAACCTCGGAGTAATATTTGATCAAGATTTGTCTTTTAATTCTCATTTAAAGCAAACCTCACGGACTGCATTTTTTCATCTGCGTAATATTGCGAAAATTAGGCCTATCCTGACCCGAAAAGATGCAGAAAAATTGGTCCACGCTTTTGTTACCTCAAGGCTGGATTACTGTAACTCTCTATTATCAGGTAGCTCTAGTAAGTCCTTAAAAACTCTCCAGCTAATTCAGAATGCAGCAGCACGTGTACTAACAGGAACTAAGAAACGAGATCATATTTCTCCTGTTTTAGCTTCTCTGCACTGGCTCCCTGTAAAATCCAGAATTGAATTTAAAATCCTACTGTTAACTTATAAAGCTCTAAATGGTCAAGCTCCGTCATATCTTAGAGAGCTCATAGTGCCATATTATCCCACCAGAACACTGCGCTCTGAGAACGCAGGGTTACTCGTGGTCCCTAAAGTCTCCAAAAGTAGATCAGGAGCCAGAGCCTTCAGCTATCAGGCTCCTCTCCTGTGGAATCATCTTCCTGTTACGGTCCGGGAGGCAGACACCGTCTCCACATTTAAGACTAGACTTAAGACTTTCCTCTTTGATAAAGCTTATAGTTAGGGCTGGCTCAGGCTTGCCCTGTACCAGCCCCTAGTTAGGCTGACTTAGGCCTAGTCTGCCGGAGGACCCCCTATAATACACCGGGCTCCCTCTCTCTCCCTCTCTCTCTCTCTCTCTCTCTCTCTCTCTCTCTCTCTCACTCTCATCCTATTACTGCATCTTGCTAACTCGGCCATTCTGGATGTCACTAACTCGGCTTCTTCTCCGGAGCCTTTGTGCTCCACTGTCTCTCAGATTAACTCATACCGCAGCGGTGCCTGGACAGCGTGACGTGTGTGGTTGTGCTGCTGCCGTGGTCCTGCCAGATGCCTCCTGCTGCTGCTGCCATCATTAGTCATTAGTCATACTTCTACTGTTATTATACACATATGACTATTATCACACAAGTATACTATCAGATATTAATACATACTTTCAACATATTGTACCACAGTAGCCAGAACTATAACTATAATATTATTACTTTCATTAATGTTGTTGTAAGCTACTGTCATTACCTGCATCTCTCTCTCTCTCTCTCTCTCTCTCTCTCTCTCTCTCTCTCTCTCTCTGTCTCATTGTGTCATATGGATTACTGTTAATTTATTATGCTGATCTGTTCTGTACGACATCTATTGCACGTCTGTCCGTCCTGGAAGAGGGATCCCTCCTCAGTTGCTCTTCCTGAGGTTTCTACCATTTTTTTTCCCCATTAAAGGGGATTTTTTTTTTTGGGGAGTTTTTCCTTATCCGCTGTGAGGGTCTTAAGGACAGAGGGATGTCGTATGCTGTAAAGCCCTGTGAGGCAAATTGTGATTTGTGATATTGGGCTTTATAAATAAAATTGATTGATTGATTGATTGATTGAAAAGACGAGTACATGAGTCTGACTTCTTGAAACATGAGTTTTCAGTCGATGCACCTAAAATAATGTGAAAATTAGTGTCTTTGTTAGTGTGCAGCTTGCATTAACTTTGGCCATCATAGCTAGAAAAAAGTACTATGAAGATGGCTAAGCTGTTACTCACAGTTTTCAAGTGATTTGCCAGGCTCATTATAGATTACTGATACATGCCAGCTTCCTTTAGCATATCTGGCACGCTTAGAAACTATTCCAGACACCTGACTTTTTTAAGATTTTGCTAGCATATCATGTGTGACTGAAGTTAGATGATAGTGAGTCAGAGACACAAAATCAAAATGAACCATTCCAATGCCTTTTAAGACATTGATTACCATGGCAACGATTAAAGCTTTGAAGCATGGAAGCATTCAAGTCAGCCCTACAATTCATTTCAACACCCAAACTACCTGTCGTTCAGCAGTTGTCACATATTCTGCTGCCAAGCTCTGCAACAACCTGATTCAAACCACAGCATCTGCTTTGCCTCCTAGACATGTAAGATGGGCTGCATGTGTTAAATGAGGACAATAAATAGGGTGATATCAGCTTAATTCAGCAAGACAAAGAAGAATGCTGGTCAGTTATCTCTATTTTGACACATCAATATTTAAAGTTAACACCCTTATGATTTTGATGATTATCATAACATATTCCATGGACTATATCTTAAGGGAGCAACACTTAAATCTGAGCTTAAGAAAGGTTGCCTGCCACTCTGTACAAGATCAGCTTCAAGCATGTAGTTGGTAGCAAAAAAAAACAACAAAAAACGATGACGGTTGAAGGAACATTTTGTTACAGTATTTTCAAGCCATTGTGACATGAGCCAAACATTTACTTCAGAAAATGTTGAGTCAATTCTTAGTAAATTGGATTAAAACTCAGTGACATGATTTCCTGTGATTATGAAGTGACAACTGTCATTGTGGCATTAACATCAGCCATTTGGTAGGCGCTTTACTCAAATAGGCTTACTGTAATATGACAACATTAGGACTGGTGGTCCCTGAGGGAACAGAATCCAAAACACTGGCAGTCTCGTTGCCACTAACTCCTGCATTTGCCCTAGTGAATTTCTTTATTTTATAAAATCATCTCCTTTTTGGTGTTTCTGTGAAAACAGATTCTCCAGAAGCTAAAAAAATTCTGATACTCTGTTCTCTCTCTTCTCATCTGAGCTGCCTCACTACAGGCAAAGCCTAGTCAATCTTATTCCTCCATCTGTGTTGTGCTGGCTCCGCCCACTGGGTGAGGGCAGCTGTCAATCAGAGAGCTGCGTCAAGTCAGATGATGAGGCCAGAGGTAAGAGACTAATAGCGTTTCACACCCACACATTTCTATCCTTATGAAGACCT